CACGACCTTGAGGTCTAGACGGATTGAGGTCACGACAGGAAGGCCAGGCATCAGGCAGGCAACGACCCACTACAGAGCGTTAACCCTATAGTCTCGTCTATACTAGACCGACCAGTCAGTCATACGAACCCGTCGGGGCAGTTACTCTTGAAGCCTAGTCGGGCGATACACCTATTATTGCTATCTTAATCCAGGTCGACCCCGGTTTCTCAGTTAGTCAGCTTTAAGGCAACTAATATTGTTGAGTGGTGCCTTCGATCGAGCAAATAAGCCCCCTCGGCCAATGAGATCTCGCATTGCGACGTTTTGAAGGGGTGAACACAAACCGAATTGAAGCCACGCTCAGCAAACCAATTAATTATACGGGAATTCAACTTGAATTGCTTGAGGAAGAGAAGGTTGATGACTACACACTGACTCCTAAACATCCACTGCTATGAATAGAATTATGAGTGCTCGTGTGCTATGACTTCGAACTATTCATTCTGGCAAACAGAAAGCCACCACAATGATTATGACTGAAAATGAATCGCATACTGGTCCGGCAATTACAACGAATGCGGAACAGATTGAAAAGAATTTATACGAGGAAGAATATAATTAAGATACACCAAGCTATCTATATAAAATAAGTAGCAACCATACAGCAATATAGTTAAGGGGGTAAAATACACCGGAACATCACCCATCAGTCACGCCTCGTTCAGCATTACGCTTGAGAGACCCCCGGAGAGGCCGGAAACCTGATTTCACAAGCAATGTTCAGTACAATTTTCTAGCCAGCTTGATATAAACAACAAAATTTTATACTGTAAGCATATATACTCCATTATTATCGCTGTGCCCTGTGCTCCACCTAAAACGTACCCAAATCTCATAGCAACCCGATGGTCGTAAATGAATTAGCGAGCGTGGTGGTGTGCCTGAAGGCATGTTAGCCCTGCGGTGGAGGGCTACGAAGACACTGGCCTCGCGTGTGCGTTGGCATGACTGGTCGTATAGCAGGTCGTGCAATGTTTCAAGGTCAGCGAGCACTCACGATTGTTGCTGATTGGTCGTTCGGAGTTGTTCTAACGCCCACACAGCTCACTAACTTCGGACGAGAACCAACCCGATTAACCGCGAAGCCCGCTAGACTGGTGCTCTGGGGTATTGTCTTGGAGGCGCCCAATTTCTCCAACTATTGAGGTTCGGTCTTAAAACTCATTGGGCATCTGAACGTCAGTATTTACACCCAAGCTCATCGAATGAGTGATGACTGTGCTCCTATGAATATTGTATCCCTTAGTGCCCCCAGTACCCCTATTTATTACTACCTCTGTTGATATATTCGAGCAAGAATTCGAAACGCCGGGCAGACAAATGCTTTTCTCAGGTGACTGACCATCATTTTCGTCAACCACTTCCCGGAACTAACTTTTCTACAACTCCTGAACAGTTATTTACCTATTGAGCAATAATGAAAATTTTCTTTCAATTTATCTCCCAATTATATAAGGAGTTAATTTTTAAAAACGATCTTACACAACAGAAGAATACAATCCGGGCTTCATAATAGAGCTCTGGATCAAGAACGCAAGAGGAGGAGGAGGAAGAGGATGGTGAACAGCAGCTTATAGAATACTCTCGGAACTCGCGGTCGAAAACGGTTAACTGTAAGCTAATGATTGCATTATAAAGAAAGTCTGGAACCCATCTTTTTTCCGACCCAGTTAGTTATGTTA